ATTGCTTTAAATTTTTTTTCGGGTTATAAAAACAAGTGAATTTTTGGCTTGTTTTAACTTAACCTTGACGCACTGCGAGTGTGTGAGTACTTTGCCCGTGTAGTAGTGCAGACGACAGTCGTCAGTGCCAGTGCTTATGCGCAGAGCTGGAAGCACACAAAATAGTGCTTCCAACATGTGGTTGTTGTAGCGGTCACTGTTCCCTTTCCCTAACGCTCGTTTATCTACTTGCAAGTGGTTTGACTGCTTTCTACCTCTACTGTTTCACTAAATGCCATGCGTTTTAGCTTTTCATGCCTGCTACTCACTGAACGACAAGCGACGTTGTGCACTTTAACCAAACTGTGCCCTTGTAGTGGTTTTATGACTTTTCGGCTTGCAATTTTTTAAATTTAAATCTGCAACTAGAATAGATTGAGGGAGCTTTTTTAGTTGGTTAACAAAACTTTTTTAAGGGGGACTGCGCGCACTTAGAAAATTTTTTCGAATTTTTAGTTTTCTTTACTAGCCAACGGCATTTTTTACTAAGATCTTTACACCGAACGGTACACTTTCCGGCAACATTATAGTTGGCATGGCATGATAAAAAATGCCAAATGAAAGGTAACAACTAAATCTATATTTTGTTCGTCTTCGATTTGCTGATTTAGTTTTCCTTGTTTTTTAAATTAATTTTAAAGTTTATTTTTTTCACGTTTTTAAGTTTTTATGCATTTTTCATCTGAAATCTAGAATCAAAAATCGTTTTAAAAAAACTGAGACCTTTAAAAATTAATCGAAGACGAACAAAATATTGATTTAGTTGTTACCTTTCATTTGGTATCTCTGATCATGCCATGCCAACTTCCATTTTTCCGGAAAGTGTACCGTAGTGTTCATGAAACGTAAGTCCTTGCTGATGGCGACCCAGTCATCGGAGGACCAAGTTATCTACATAGGACTGCTCTACATGAAATTCCTAATAACTTGTATTGAGTGCACTTTTCATAAACATCATAACCACCCCAAAATCAAAATTCTAAAAAACAGTCAAAAAGTGCGCGGTGTCCCCCCTTAACTAAACAAGTAATTTTTGGCTGATTTTAATTTAACCTTCAAACAGTCACAGTAGTTTCACTGGTAATTGCTGCTTCAATGCCCAGTGTAGTGGTGTGCAGACGACAGCTGCCTATGCCAATGCTGTTCCACAGAGTGGGAAGAGTGGTTGTTGTAGCGGTCACTGTTCCCTCTCCCTAGTGCTCCTCTATCCGCTCGAAAGTGGTCGGACTGCTTTCTACCTCTACCTCTCCAATGCCAATATACTTTTATATGCTTGCCCTGTCAGCTACTCACTGAGCGACAAGCCACACTGTGCACTTCAACGCCGCTGTGCTCTTTTTGGTGGTTATACGGCTTTTTGGCTTTGAGTTTTTTTGTTGATTTCTAGACTTTACGTAAAAGTTAACTTTTCAAATTTTGTCAACTTTTTTAAAACATTCATTTTTAAGCGGTGTTTGCAACTTTCAACTGATATTTTCAAGAAAAATATGTTTTTTTATTTACAAATATCACTAATTTAAAATTCACATGAGTGAGGATAAATTAGCAGCATTATGCGCCAGCAGTTAATTAAAAAACATCAATTTTTTCATTTTTCTACCACTACTCAAGCTTCAAAATAAGCGAGTTTTCACTTACTGCCACTTGCCTTTCCTCTTTTGCCTTTAGTGGACGACTTGGATGACGATTTGCGCACCTTTGCCAGCGAGCGCCTCGACTTAGTCACCGAGCTGGTCCTCGAAACAGAAGCTGTAGCAGAACTGGCAGTGCCACTCTGACTAGCCAAAGAAGACGAAACATTGGTTTTTGAGTTGAGCCTCTCTTTGCTTGGGCGAACACCCTGCTTGCTGCTTTTCTTCGTAACCGATGGCAGTCCTTGAGTGCACGTTTCCAGATAGTTGACCAGCACCTTCACCTGATCTCGACGGTAGTACATGAAACGCTTCGTCTCCCAGAGACAGTTGATGATGCGACTGTCCTGCGGCTCATCCAGCTCCATCAGATCACTGATGAAAGAGTTTATGCGGAAGTAAGGCACCTTGGCCGCTTTGCAGAAAGCTTCCACTCTAGTGTTGGTGTATGAAAAACAAAGCATGAGAAAACCGATGCATGGTAGTCGCGCTTCCAAACTTACCGCTCAGTAACGTGCTGCTCCGTTTGACAGGCCTCGTAGACCAAATTCACCACCATGGTGATGTACTTGGGCACCGTGGAAAGTGAGTATATCTTCTCAATGTCCACCATTTCGCTGACCTCGAGAGGGCCCTTTCCAGTGCCAATGGAGAGCACCAGGTCGAGGCTCTGACACTGGTCGCCCTTGCCGACTGCACGCAGTGCTGCATTGGTCATCTCAAACTCCGTCATTGCCTCCATGGTGGGGTTGTTGGCAATCAGACCGCCGTCAATGAAGTTGCCATAGGCGCGGAAGTAGATGGGCGCAGCTCCACTGGCTCGACACGCCTCCCACACATGCATGTTTCGGCTCTCGTACTTGCGGTAGTTATGCAGGTCCTTATCGTGGTCAGGCAGCAGCTGATCGATGAGGTGCTTGTTACCGCTTTCTGCCATTATCTCCACCACCGAGGGATAGCTGCGGAACTTGTGCAGCTTCATAGGTCGTCGGTTGGCAATGACCGTGGGCACAATGAGGTACTTGCCGTGCTTCTTCATGATGTCCTTCATCTGCATCTTCGTGCCGGCCACCTCCTTGATCACTGACTCCAGTGCCTCTGAGGAGTACGGCTTATCGCCGGTGAGCACCTTTTCCTTGAAGCGAAAGTATATGCCGCGAATTTCGTCGATGCTCTTGCCCATGGCGAGAAAGGTGCAGATGAATGAACCGGTGCTGGTGCCGGCGAACCACTTAAAGTATGCGTTCAGCGGGTGCTTCAGCTGCTTCTCCACCTCCTTGAGCATCTGCAGTGAGATGAGACCTTTGATGCCGCCGCCGTCCAGACACAGCATGTTCACTCCCTTCTCCGCCACCATTTGCTCACTAGTGCGACGTTCCTTCTCTTGGAGAATGTCACTGAAGAGAAACTCTTTGAACAACAGATCGTACTTTTTCTCGATGCCAAAGAGCTTCTCATTGACGTTTCCCTCAAAGTCGCCCGTTGAGCTGCAGCCATTCTCGCAGGCCTCCCTGTCCCCTCCTGGTGGCGGGCAGCGCTTGGCGCCCAGCGCCGAGATCAGGTAGAGAATGGCCTCCGAGGTGCTTGACTTGGCGGCCACGTGGCGCACCGACTGGTGATTGTTGTTCTCCGCGTTGAGATCAGCGTCGAAGACAATGAGCGTCTGCGACACGGCAATGTCGTTCTCACGGACGCTTAGGTGCAACGGCGTGTTCCCAAAGACGTTGGTCGCGTTGACGTTGGCGCCCGCACAGAGCAGGGCGATGACGCACTTCAGGCGAAGGCGCTTCGAGGCGACCGCCAGCGCCGTGTCGCCGGTGAAGTTGCGAGAGTTCAAGGGAAAGCTGTAGCGCAGCAGTTTCACCATCAGTCGCTTGTGTTTGGTCCAGTGCAGCGGGGTGCCGGCGACGCTGATGTCCTGAAAGTCAATGTCCTCCAGGTCCTGCTCCGAGAAGTGCACTATCTTCTGCATTCGGGGACTCTTGTCCAGTGAGGTGCGACTGCTGCTGCTTCGCCTGATGCCGCTGCCATGGCGACTGCTCGGCGGTGAGAGGGTCAGCATTCGAACGGTCAGCCCGAACTTGAGGAACTCAATGACAATGTCGTACTTTTGGCCGACGCAGGCGAGGTGGAGAGCGGTGCTGCCTTTGTTGTCCGTCCAGAGGATGCGCCCGAACATGTCCTCCTGGTTGAGAACCAGCGAGGCGATCTCCTTGGTGGCCATGGCGGCGTAGTGCAGCACCGAGTGCTTCCTCACGTTCACCAGATTGAGGTCAGGCCCGAGGGCGAGTATCAGTCGGACGGTGCTGAGGTTCTCCTTCTTGATGGCCAGGTGCAGTGGCGTGTACTTGTCCGGATTGGCCTGGGCGTTGAGCACCTCCGCGGTGATCCCCTCAGAGGTGAAGTAGCCGTCGTAGGTGGGGCTGAGACTGGCGGCGATGTGGGCGCTGTTCCAGTGGCGGTTCACCTTCAGGCAGCCCATGATGGCCTGCAGCTGTTCGTACAGCTGCAGTCGATGTGAGGGAATCCACTGGTGCAGTGTGTTGATGGCCGACTTGGCGCTCTGGTAGATTGAATGAGCGTCCTTTCGTGAGATGCTGTGGTAGAGAAGGAAGCCGTAGCTGCTGCCCCGCTGGGTCGAGAAGAGCACCTCGTAGAAGGTGACGCCGTTGGAGGCCGCGTTCATGTTCGAGCACAGGTGAACGAGGCCACTGTGCTCTACTTCAGATCGATTCTTACAGTGCTCCTCGGACTCATTCTCCAGGTCGATGACGCTGAAGGGATTCTCAAAGAGTACTATTGGCTGAGCAGAGCGAGCATTGCCAAAGAGCCAGTTCATCATTGTGATTGCTGCTTGGTTCACCACTAAAACGATGACGTATACTAGCCAGAGGTTGAGGTTTGTGTTGGCTTTTATTTGTCTCTGAAAGCATTCATACAAAATTTTTTAGTAATAGAAAAAAGTTCCAAAACTTAAAACATTACGTGTTTTCAATTTTATTTTTATGCAAATTGTAAACGCCCTAAAGCTACTTTTTATTCGTTTTATCGCAAATTGTGTACTTCTCATAACTTTTTAGCGGGTCGTAAGGTTCCCACCTGCTCGCAGGGAAGATGTGCTTGTTTCTTTCGTACCAGCTGCGCATCAGCACCTTACCGGCGTGAGACTCATCTCGCTCCACAGTGGCATCAGCGACTAATCTCACGTCATCGTGAACGTCGAAGTTGAAAAGTGGCCCACTTTTACCTCGTGCCTTTGTGACAATAAAGTCGTAGAAGGTGTAGTGATGCGGAATGATCAGATCTTCCTTGATGTACATGAGCTGGTCGGTAGTGACCGTACGCAGCTCGTGAAACTCCTTTCTCAGTAGTTCAAGTGCTTTCTGTAGAAACTGGTAGATACTGTTGCCCTTCTTCATAACCACGGCTCGTCGATGGCCAGAACCATCCCAGTAGCTAAAAGTAATTTCAATTTCTTCGTTCTTCAACTTTGTCTGCTTTTCACTCCATTCCTGTCGAAGTTTCTCGCGCAGACGATTTTCTTCTTCCTCTCGTTCTCTATCAGGCAGGAAGCTGGTGTCCACATCAGGATTTTTAGTTACTTTCTTTAGCACTTTTGTTTTGGGTTCATTCTGAAAAGAAACAGTAAATTGTAATGAATTGCAATTCAAAATAAATCTCATCATTACCGTGCTTTGAGAGTCAGAGTTGGCAGTATCACTCGAAGTAGATGCTTCATCATCTTTTAACTCCGGCTGCTCTGTTGTAACTTCTTCCTTTTCAACTTGATCCTTTTCTTTTTTGGGAGCTTTTTTAATCGGCTGAAAGTCCTCTTCTTCCTCCTCCTCTTCCTCGTCATCAAATCTGAACGACAGCGCTTTGATCTAAAATTATACAAAAATCAGCACAGATTTTATCAAAGAAACTATCATACCTGTCGTTTTTGTTTTTCCTTTTGCTCAATTTTTGACTCAATTTCTCGTTTTGCAATTGTTTCCTGTTTAAGTGCCAGTTGTCGTTCTCGCTCTTTCACCAAGTCCTCCTGCCGTGCCCGCATCTGATCTAAAGTGACCAAACCGACGGTGGATGATTTAATCTGCTGTTCGATGGCATCATAATGGGTGGCAAACTTATTGCCCATATTAGATATCTTCAGCTCTTCTTCAATCTTTTTCTTTCGAAGCTCTAAATCTTCTAGAGCCTTCTCACGTTGCTTCTGCAACTGCATGGCTCGCCCTCCTTCAGATGCGGCTCCTTTGTAGTGTGCCATCGTGTAAAAAGTAATCAAAACGATAACCTAATGGAAAACAGTTAAACAACTGCTTGAAAAGATTGAATATTCTTGAATGTTTTGATTTTAAAAAGTTTGTGATGAAAATCAAAACAAATCGTTGATCGGCGTGAGTGGCGATTTCGACACAGTCTGTCACTTGGACGTGGCTGTCAAGATTTGTTGTTTACCGAGAAAACTTTACTGCACTGACAACACACAGAGGAGTTGTCTNTCCTTTGTAGTGTGCCATCGTGTAAAAAGTAATCAAAACGATAACCTAATGGAAAACAGTTAAACAACTGCTTGAAAAGATTGAATATTCTTGAATGTTTTGATTTTAAAAAGTTTGTGATGAAAATCAAAACAAATCGTTGATCGGCGTGAGTGGCGATTTCGACACAGTCTGTCACTTGGACGTGGCTGTCAAGATTTGTTGTTTACCGAGAAAACTTTACTGCACTGACAACACACAGAGGAGTTGTCTTTGGAGTTGCACGCACTACCTGTAATTTATTAATTCACCTGTGCTTATTATCATAAATATTAAACTTCCTAAAATGTAACTGATCATCAGGAAAGTTTTAACTTAAATTGTAGTGGTTGCTGTTGATTAAAAAAGCGGTCAAAATGACGGCCCAAAGTGATTACCTTTTGAATGAAGTTGAGTTCTCCAAACTGGCCGATGGCAAGAAGGCCATCTACGTCTACAACTGGCTTCGCAATCTCTCGAAGCTCCTGCTTCGTACGCAAAAGGTATTATAAATTTTGCTTTTATTCCAATATCTGAAGCATTGTTCCTTTCAGGATGAAATCAGAGATTTTCAAAAGACACTGGTCGATCAGCTGATGAAGCAAATGAACACCCTAAATGGACATCCGACGAGAAAGCTTATCGCCAAATGTCTCGCTACAATTTTCACCATTGGAGATACCTTCTTGTTGTTTGACGCCATCAATAAGTGCATTGAAATTCTTAAGAACAAAGATGATTCGGCGCAAGTGCAATCGTCAAAACTGTAAGTTGTTTTAAAATATTTAGACTTTTCTTATAATTATATCTCATTTGCTTTTATGTTTAGATCTGCAATTGTTTGTATAGGGATCATGTACGAAAGCTTAGGAAGGTTGATGGGACGAACTTACGAAGAAACGGTGCAAATACTTTTGAAATTATTAAAAAATGCAGACGTAAGACACCCTCTTATTTATAATGTTTAGTTATCATTTGTGATTTACGCTAAATTTAATTTGCAGTCGCAAACTCGTTTTGAAATTTACACAACATTGAAGATGATCACCATTGGAATGGGCACTGCAGCTAGTTCTATTCATCGAGACATTTACAAGTCACTGAAGCACGGAATGGGAGATCGATCTATGCCTGTCCGCGCTAATGCCGCCAAATGTCTGCATCACCTCATTGAGTTTGCACCTTTTCTCTACACAACAGAAATTGAAAATGTCTTTTCACTGTGTTTCCGGGCACTGGATGGCTCCAACTACGAAGTGCGTTGCGCCGTTGCACAAACACTCGGATTTTTAGTTGCCACAACCCAAAGTCCAAGTGTCAAGCAGAACCTGCAAATATATCAGGGAGCGACAAACAGTTCAAACAAAACCCGAATAGTCTCCCTCGAAGAAGCATTAAACTTGTTGGCCTCTGGGTATCTTCGTGGTGGTATTGGCTTCCTCAAGGCAGGTGAAATGATCAAAGGCAGCTCGACGGTGAATCGTGAAGTTCGTCTCGGCATCAGCCACGCCTATGTTGCCTTTGTCAATGAGATGGGCGCCAGCTGGGTTGAGAAAAATATTGTTTTCTTTTTGGATCACCTCTTTGAAGTGCTGACCAATGCCAAGTCATGTGCAACTCACTTGGACGCCATTTACAGTCGCCGCTGTGTCACTTTCATCCTGCGAATGGTCATTGGCAAAGTTCTCAGTGAAAATGGGCAGTTTCAGGCGTTGAAGGAAATAGTCAAAATCATCTCAAAGTATTCTCGCATTGGCCACTCAGCACTGCCTCGAGCGGCCAATGCAAAGAATGGCTTCGAGATGAACAACACCGCCGAAGAGTGCTCTCCCGCGAGTTTGGCCAACTCTGCAGCCAAAAGTGCATCGGCGATTACCAACGATGTACAGCTGGCCCAGCACGCCTTGGTGGTGGCGTTGCTGGAGTTGGGGACCTTAGTGCAGCAACTGGGCCCATCGTGTCTTCCCTTTCTGCTGGACACTCAACTGGCCGTCATTGAGACCGTCTGCTGTGTGGTCAATCACCCGGCGCATGTAGTCCGCCTCTCTGCGGCCTGGTGTCTGCGGTGTGTCTGCTCTTCGGTGAACTGTCAGCTGACGCCTCTCTTTGACCGTTCTCTAGAGCGTTTGGAGACACTTCGATCCAGTCCTGAATCAATCAACGGCCACTCCTATGTCATATCGGCACTTCTCGGCACTGTGCGCTACACTCCACTGGGAATACCGCAGAACAAGGCCAAGTTGGTGTTCAACATTGCCGAAGACTTACTGCGGACGGCCTCGCAGAACAGTCGCCTGTCGATGCCGCGCACTCAGGCTGGCTGGCAGTTGATGGGCGCCGTGATGACGCTGGGCCACTCGGGGGTGAAAGGTCTGCTGCCTCGTCTGCTGTTGCTGTGGAAGAACTCCTTTCCTCGGAACACCAAGGAACTGGACTCTGAGAAGGCTCGCGGTGATGCCTTCACCTGGCAGATTACACTGGAGAATCGAGCCGGTGCACTGGCGGCGATGGCCAGCTTCCTCGCCTGTTGTCCCAAGCTGGTCACCGATGACATTCGCCGGCGACTGCTGACGCCGATAGAGTCCGCCATCACAATGCTCGTCTCACTGAATACGCTCTTCAAGACGTTAGGGCCGGCCATAAAAGCCAGCTACACGATGGTTCGCTTGAGACTGTATCAGGTGCTGCTCCTCCTACCGCCACAGCTGTACGAAAACTGCTTCGCCAATCTGCTCCGACTTCTCGTGTCTGATCTGACCTTGACGGAGAATGTGGCCAACACGACAAGCTCATTGCTGCGAAATCTCATTCAGACAAATGCCGACATCATTTTGGGCTCATGGATTCAGGAGACGGAGCACCATCTTATTGAGGATCAAGTATATCACTTTATTTTTTATTTTGCTTACAATTTCTCTACCTTTTCTTACTAACCGCTTACTAACACGTCTTAAAACTTTTCACTGCTTACCATTTCTTGAAGATGGAACCTAATAGAAAGTTGGACAAGGATTTCGTGAGTTTTCTGCTGAATGATGCTTTTTATTTCGGGAATTATGCTTTATTTTTTTCAACGTTTAAAACTTTTTTCGCTAAACCAGAAATCTAATAATTGTTTGTTTNAGTTTTCTGCTGAATGATGCTTTTTATTTCGGGAATTATGCTTTATTTTTCAACATTTAAAACTTTTTTTGCTAAACCAGAAATCTAATAATTGTTTGTTTGTTACAGTTGCAAGCCTTTCTATCATCTGGCGTTGGTTCCATTGAATACGATCCAACAGCGCTGTACAGAGCCACCAGTGAGCAGACGCATCCATCTCCACTGCCTCTCGCTGTGATGATCATCAACAAATCAGCACTGGTCTTTGCTTCAGTCTTTCCCTTCGTCGCTCAGAAGCATCGAGTACAAATGTTGAATCACTTTGCAGAGTGCATCAAACTGGCTAAATCATCTCGTCAAGAGGCGATCCAGATCAACATACAGACAGCACTACTAGGCGCATTGAAAACTCTGGCAGAAAGCAAAATGAACTTGGGCACTGAAGAGGTGCGCAAACTGGTAGTGGCGAGCATTTTCAGTACGCTAAATCACTCCAACCCGTTGATTCGATACGCATCGGCGGAAAGCATCGGCCGGTGTGTGCAAATCATCAACGACGGCAAGTTCCTCTCTGAGATTACCCAGCAGTGCTTTGAGAAGCTACGAACCGCAAGGGATGCTCTCACTCGAACGGGCTACTCCCTGGCCATTGGCTCCATTCATCACTACGTCGTCGGCATGGGCTCGGTGCAGCAGCTGAAGACGAACATCAGCCTTCTGCTGGCACTGGCGGAAGACCACTCTTCGCCGTCGGTGCAAATTTGGGCACTTCATGCGTTGACTTTGATTGCCGAGTCGGGCGGCCCAATGTTTCGTTCCTACGTAGAGCCTACACTAAATCAGTGTCTGAAGATACTGCTCGTATTGCCGCCTTCACTGATTGACGTTTACCAAAGTATTGGCAAGTGCCTCTCCGCTTTAATCACAACAATTGGGCCTGAATTTCAGGTAGGTATATAGTGGATTTTGGTAATAACGAGTTTTAATTTGTTTTGCTTTATTTTTAGTCTTCTTCTCATTCGATCAATGAAATTCGTCTATCTACCTTGATCGCATGCTCAGTGCTTCAAGAGCACGGTGACTTTCTGGTTAAGAGTGAAACTATTGGATGTCTGCAACAGCTGCACATGTTTGACCGCAAAAACTTTGACCTTAATGAACTTATCTTCCTTCTATGCGATGGCTACTTAAGCACTCATTATCTTCTTCGTAAAGCATCCATATCATGTTTGCATCAAATTGCTCAAAAAGAATCAAAGCCATTAATCGACTGTACCTCAGAGTGGCTCCAGCAGAATAAGGCCAACAATCAAGTGGGCGTTATTTACAACTTTAATACTAGAGCAAACAATGGATTTCCAGGCATTCTTACAGCATTACTTGACTTTGAGAACGACAGTTTTAACGTGTCAAATATCAAGAAGATTCTCACATGTCTTATACAGAATATTGATGAATTTAATCTCAATTTATGGCTTCATTTGTGCAAAGAAGTGCTTAGTGCAGCAGATAACTCACTGAATGAAAACGAAGTGGAGCACGAAGTTGAAGAAGGCGAGTTTGAGGAAAGCGACTTCAAAGCCGTGGATAGTTCGGCGCAAATTAAAGTGTCCTATCGATGCCAGACGCGAGTTTTCATCATGAATTTGCTGTCAAAGGTCATCGCCAGTTGCAGCCAGTCATCACTTAACTCATGTGTCCACTTTGATCTAACACTGGCTCGAAACCGAAGCACTGAATCAGGCGGAAAGGAAGATTTTCTCGTTTTGCACCTCTCTGATCTGGTTCGCATGTCATTCATCGGCGCCACCTCTGACTGTGATGACCTTCGCATGGAAGGACTGAAGGCGCTCGAGCTGGTCATTGACAAGTTTGCCCAAGTTCCCGAGCCTGAGTTTCCTAATCACGTCATTTTGGAGCAATTTCAAGCCCAAGTAGGGGCTGCCTTGAGACCAGCATTCGCCGTGGACACACCATCTCACGTGACAGCAATGGCCTGCCAGGTGTGCAGTGCCTGGATTGGAAGCGGTGTTGCCCGCGATCTGAATGATCTTCGTCGAGTTCACCAGCTGCTCGTCTCATCTCTCGATAAACTGCATAAGAATTCAACATCGCGAATTTACAATGAAAGCGCTTCGACGATGGAAAAGCTGGCAATCCTCAAGGCATGGGCCGAAGTGTACATGGTGGCAATGGCACAGAATGACAAGCAGCAGGCCGTTGAGCAGCAGGTGGAGTCAACGGAAGGTGCAACCAAGGAAAACCTACTGCATCTGGTCGCGCCAGAACTGCTGACACTGTCCAAGTACTGGATCTTTGCCCTGCGCGACCACGCGCTGCTCACCTTGCCCACCGAGTATGTCAACCAGATCCCACCTGATGGCGGCACATTTTTCATTGTCGAGACAATCGAAACGGTTCGACCAATGTACAGATCCTCATGGCCCTCAATCCTGAACGCTGCCGCTCTCTGGCTCTGCACCGGAAAGGGATTTGAAATTCTTGACCAGGATAAGACGCTCAATGTCTCCAAGTATGATCAGTTTTACCTTCTGTTTGGCATCTGCATGGAAGCGTTGAGCAATCCAAAGTCAACTGAACAGACTTCACACGTGTCCACGTACTTGGACTCTCTGAAGGAGCTGATCACCAAGAATGAAGTCACAAAGACCGTTTTTGCCGAGAACAATCAGCAAATACGAGAGCTCTGTCAGGTGCTGCATCGTCTACTGCTCACCCATGAGGTGTCAGACTGTCAGAATGTCATTACTGAGATTATCAAGTCCGTCATTGAAATCGAAGCCGAGCGTATTCAAGATAAACGAGCTAGCTTGGCAAAGGCAAATGATGTGGCAGAGAATGGCGATGCTGATGGGGAAAAGGAGACTGGTGCCGATAGCTGTGGTAAATCAACAGCAGCCTATGAAGTGGGTGAAGGTGGAAAGAGTGGGGAAATAAGCATGCAGGAGTCGCTCGTTTACTCGCTCTTGGAAATTTGTTTGTCCATTTTGGTGCGTCAGCTGCCGCAACTGTGCCCCACACTGGCCTCAACGCCCGAGTTTACCTTCATTCGCAGTCAGAAGTCAACAAATTACCTGCTGTTCAACGGCGATAATGCCCGTCTCATCGCCAATGTTCTTTCCATTCTCACCGAGCTGCCCAGTCTGTGCTCTCCACAGGGCAGCTTGACCATTCTGCCCACCATTTTATACCTGCTTACCGGCGTCTTCTGTGAGCTGTCCGTCGTCAGTCAGACGATATACGATGAGAAGCTGTACGAGAAGGAGCCCACATTGACCTTTCTCAGGTGCATCAAAACTCTGTGCACCTCTCCTTTTCTGGTGAACGCCGAGTCAAAGCAAAAGTGGACACAACTGCTGCAGAGTGCCGTCGCGAGAATTCTCGACATGAGCAAAACAAGTGAGCGTAAAACTGTTTCTACTGTTCGTTGGCCTGCTAAACAATCTACTTTTTTTCATTGTGCACAGGCAACGATGACCAGAAGCAGGATTTTATATCAACTCTGCTGGCCATTGGCGTATTTGCCATTTACTCTCCGCCCGAAGTGCTCTTCACCGCTCAGCTGCAGTATCCCATTATCAATCTGATGACACAGGCACTTCAGTCGGACAAAGACCTGGTCAGTAGTTTTTTTGTGAGACGGAGTTCATTGGAGGGGGCATTCGTTGAGTCGTTTTTTCAATGAGTTTACCGTTTCTATTTATCTTTTCTTCTCCCCTCACCGACTGACTAACAGATTCAGCTGAAGTGCATTGAGACGTTAAAGTTAATGTTCTCGCAATGTGAAACGAGCAACGCTGTCTTTTACATTCACAGCCTCGCACCGAAGACGATTCAGGTCTTCTACTCGTTGATCAATTGCGTGAAAAGTGGCCAGTCACTGAGCAACGAAAAGGTAGAGTCCATTCTGACAATTTTGGCCTGCCTGGAGGTTTTCATTGAAAAGGCAGCGGAGGACAAACGTAAGTGGACTGGCTTTAAACTTTCTTGTCGAGTGCATGCTCTAACCAAGCCATATGATGAAACCTCTGTTTGTCGTTGTTAGGCATTAACATGCTATCTATCTACATACCGGCGCTGATATCACTGCTGAACGGTGAGGTAATGCAGAGTAATTCACGCCTGATGAGCAGCTCTAGTGCACAGCGAGTGATGCTACACGAGCAGTCGCTGAAGAAGCTAACTGAAATTGGACCAAAGTACACTGAAGAGTTTAAGCAAATAATGGCTAGCAATTTGAGCTACAGTGAGGCTCTGAAAAGTGCAATTCGAAATCAGCAGAAGAAGGCAACCAGCGACAGTGATAGCAGCAAGGGGAACGCTAGCAAAGGCTCTGCCTCTATTCAGCTGAAGGTGGACTTTAGCAAGTACAAATGAAGTTGATCTGTTGACTTTTCAGTTCTACAGCGACACCTGACAGCTATCTTTTACTTCTTGTGAACACTAATAAAATGGCGGTACAAAGGCTTTCAAACTCGATGGAGTGTTTTTGATACATAACTGATTAGCTGGTGTAAGAGGTAGAGAAGTAGTTTCTCTAGGGTCACTTTTGTGGGCACTTTTCCATTAAGTGCATTGGTGTTTAGTGGTGATTACAGTTGGACAGACTGCCTAATCGACGGCTTCATCAAAGTGTCCTCTGCATTGGTCCTTTTTGCGGCCGGGTTTTGGAGGATGCTTAGATGAGGGCAGTGGTGGTGGTTGTTCGTGGAGTGTGCCCATCTTGACTGGAGTTTAGAGTGCCTCTCACTTTGGGTTTCAGCATTAGCCACTGCGCTGGCCAAATTGCAGTGGCTCTCTCGTGGCCTCTCAGTGGCGTCACTACTACTCAGGACTATTCAACTGGCTGAGCTCTCTCGCTTTATCAGGCGTTCAAACTAGTGTCCTCGTGCCACTGCTCAAGTCTCAACTCTGAAGAAGCTTGTTCTCTTTGTTCAATTGTTGTTTTTTGTTGCCTTCTTCGCCATCTTTTTTATATCACTGCTCACTTCCTCAGTCAAAAGCCCTCCGTCGGCAAACCATCATCATCACCACAGCCACTGCCAACATCATTAATTGAAACTCATTGATGGTTTGTTTAATTTTAAGTAAAAAAACTTGTGCCATTCAAGTAGCCATCCAGAAGGGAAACTTTGCAGATGAGTGGGCAACTTCAGTGGCTAAAGGAAGAAAAGGACAAGGAGCGGAAAGATGAGAGTCACTGGCGACTGACTGGTAGCGGCGATATAGAAGTGCCAAGCCAAGTGCCACTCGCCAGTCTTTTCTCTTTTCTCTCTTTTCTTTTTCTGCCTCTCAGGATCGGATCGTGCGTGCTGGTTGTTGGTGTTACTTCGGTGATGCTGCTGTTGATGCAGTGCACACAACGGTGTGCAGTGTGCAGGGGCACCAGGCGAGTACGCCAGAGCACACAGACACAGAGTGTGCGATGGATGGTCGGCACCAGCAATGGAATCATCAGCATCAGCAGCATTAGAAGCAGCAGCAGCCGTTGCCGTCCATTGGTGCGATTGGTCGAGAAGTGAGGGGCCACCTCTGTGAAGGCGGGCACTAGAGAGTGCGGCAGCTGCTGATTCGGTGCCCTGACAAAAACGTAGAGATCACTCTTTTCTACTATTGCCCTCTGTTCGCTTGCTCTTTCTCTTCTCTTCTCGTCTGGAGCACTTTGGCGCATTTTGGAGAGTCCTCAGTTTTTGGAGCCCACAGTCCACCAGCCACTGGAGCTCATTCTAAATTTGCGGTGAAGAGCCCTCGAACGCGGCCCGAGAGCTCGAGCAGCCTGAGAAGCATCATCTCTTCTTCCTCTTCTCTCTTCACTTCACTTCTCAACAGCATTTGATCCCCGCTCGCGAGCACCTCTTCTTCTTCTTCAGTTCAGTTTTCTTATATGACCACCTTATCAGCATCTCCTTGATTACGTACTCTACTCTGCTCCTTCTTAATCTTGAGCGGCTCGAGTGCAAAGGAGTGGAATCAACAAGCCATGAATATAGGCCCTGCTACCTCTTCACACACCTCGGCCATGCATCACCACCAGTATGGTTCGAGTGCTCCAGACATGTCCCGCTCGACCTTTCCCAGTTCCTACTACGAGTCCTTCTACGCCAACGGGGCTCCCTCCGCTTGGGGCGCCTATCCAGCGGCCGCGGCGGCCACTTACTCCTCGCAGGCAAACACCGCGGTCACCTCCGCCGCCGCCGCCGCCAGCTCCTGTCTCCTGGGACCGACTGGGCCGAAGAGCCTCGTCAACTCGCACTTCTCTACGGTGCATTCGCAGCGACGGAAGCGCCGAGTACTCTTCACGCAAGCACAGGTACTTGTCCCCCCACTAGTGCTGCCACTACTTCTGCCTGACTATTACTAGTACTCGAATAGTGCCACTCCAGCCAATGATCCACTCGATGACCAACTCCTTTCGGTCGATTCTCTCCCTCTCCCTCTCTCCCTCTGCCATTTAATCCACAAGATGGACACTTTCTAAGTGATTGAAACTCAATCTCCCTTTCTCATTTAAACAATCTGTCTCTCCAGTGATGAGTAGTCGTTTGATCAACTTTGTTTTAATTTCTCCATCAGGTATTTGAGCTGGAGAGGCGATTCAAGCAGCAGCGCTACCTTTCAGCGCCCGAGCGAGAACACTTGGCGTCGATGATTCAGCTGACGCCTACTCAAGTGAAGATTTGGTTTCAGGTACGCAATTACAAGCAACAACCTAACAGAATGTCTAAATTTCTTAGTTTCCTAACACTGCCACAACCACAATTCTTCTTTTCCTTACTCCAAATAGAACCATCGCTACAAATGCAAACGCCAGGCAAAGGAGAAGGCGATGAGTGAGAGCTCTCCGAACTCACCCAACGACTCGACCTCTCCAACCTCGGTGTCGATCACAGCGAGCAACTCTTCTGCGGCGACGGCCGCTTCCTACTGTGGCGTCTCTTCTCCGCGCAAGGTAGCAGTTCCGGTGCTCATCAAACCCGATAGCAAACCCATTCTGTAAGTGCACACTCATTTCCTACTGCCCATTGCCCCCGCTTACTACCTCTGAGCACTCGCCTTTGTTTGCAATGTTGCCCTCCTGTCAATCAGCGCCTGTGCTCTTATTAGTGCTCTAATTATAAGATGTTCTCTCTCTCTCTTCCTCTTTTCCTCTCTCTTCCTCTCTTTGCACGCTCAGTCCTATAGACAGCGGCAGCGGCGGCGTCGTTAGCGGCCGAGATGCGGTTTCCTTGCGCCCTGACGGCTATCCCACGCCAGGACAGGTGCACCAGGCGAGTCAGATGCTGCTGAGCGGTCAGGCAGTGCCTTGTTCGTCGCTGTCTGCCGCCTCTCACCACTACCACCACTTTGCCAGCAATGGCTCGTCAGTGGCCAGCGCCTTTGCCTCCGGTCCCTTCGGCGCGGCGAATGGCTTTGCACTTGCCCACCACCAGACACCCACTGACTCGCACCACGAGCTCCTCTTCCGCACATCCGTCTCACACTGGTAAGCACACAGGTGGAAGGGAAAACAAGGTTTAGCAGAGTTGATGTGCCCGCATTCGGCGCGCAATCGGAAAATCGCAATCGGACACCGGTCAAACACTTTCCACACTCTTCACACACTTAAACTTCCTCAGTTGGCCAACTTTAATTGGTTTAATTGGTTAGTCGTCGTCCTCTTCTTTTCGTCTTTTCTTTATTTCTATGCTATTTGGCAGTTTCCTTTATCACACAGTAATTACTTGGTTATCACCATGAATCGTTAGATCAGCAACATTTCCAATCGTTTTACATATCATCACTACACATCTATTACCACCACCAGCAGCAAAACATCAGCAGCAGCCGTAAGATCCCTTGAAGGCACTAGCATCTGGTGGGCATTGTTAAGCATCAATAGCTGTGTCAGTGTCACAGCAGCCGACACAGTTTGTACATACATTTGTCTTTCTTTCTCTTTTGCCGTTTTGTTCCCTACATTTTCCTGTTCACCTGTACTGTAGTAATAAAATTACTTGACAAATAGAAATGTTTCTTTTGAGTAAGTGGCCACCACATGTATTGACACAATATCCGAAGAAGCCAGTTTCACTTGCATTGTGCACAATTGTTGCCCGCATTTCAACGGCTCAATTAAGGCTCGCTTTCAGTCAAAGATACTGGTTGCGGCCGGTGTTAGGGATTCCAGCTCTTTATTATGTGGTCTATTAGAATGCCGCAACTGCAGCATCAAAAGACAGGGTGTGGAAAAGTGAATGATTCTTTTGTGCTCAGAGTGCACACCAGGGGCAGAGAAGAGACTGAGAAGACGGCGGTGAGCGCACGAGCTTCAATTAGAGGTGCTCAGTTTGTCTCCGTTTGTTGCTTTGTGCACTGACTTCTTGAGCGCAACCATTCCTTCTGCACCCTGAGCACGCATTACTTTATCGGGCCGTCTTCAGGTTTGTCCATCGAGTTTTTCTTTCACCGTTAACAGTGCTGGCTTCAGTGTTGTTTGCAATAACGAGCGTCGATTACTATTGAACGATTGAAATTGACGAGCATTGCTTGCAGTGTGGCGGTTGCCTTCTTTTGGTTCTCAGAGAGAAATGCATCGAGTCCGAAAGTGTGTCCCACTAGCGTTTCCCTTTGCCTCTGCAGCCAGTTGAAGTCGTCACTGCTGCACATTTAATACGATTAAATGGCAATATCGTTGTGCTCTTGGGTCCCCTTCGTCTTCTTTTCACTGTTGCTCTCCACTCTCTTTCACTCTCCTTGGTGACACTCATTGGAGAGGCTGGTCTATTTATTTAGTCAGCAAGCCTCAACGACAATGGGCACGGGCATTTGGTAACATGCAAATTGACACAACAAAGGTTTATGATTTCTTAATAGTTTTTGCTATTGAGCTCTCTATTATCGGCTTTCACTTCTAACAGCACTTAGTCAGAGAAGTTCACTTCATTCTCCAGCGGCCAGATGTGTCACCACGACAAGTACACAAAACAAATTGGTTGTGGCCAACTGACCGATAAGCAAAATTGTGATAGGCTCTTCACCAAATTGCTGCAAAATTCGCTTTTCAATTAAACTCTGTTTACCTTCATCTATTTACGCACTGTAAAATCATTAAGTGAAATATCATCAACTGAAGGGAAATGGCCCAGCAGGACGGCTACTGACTGCATTGAATAAGTTGTCCACTGTGATGCTTTCACTGTTTCCAAACATTTCATATTTTTCTTTTTCAACCAAGCTTAACTATTAAAATACAAGACAAGAACAAGTGAAGCGCACAAAAAGTTCATTCATTTACACGGCTGTTTGGTTTGGGACAAGCCAAAAAACAAAACCGTCACAGATCAAAGAGCGAAAAAGCGAATGTGGTTTTATTAGAGAAAAGTATGTTTGAGCCTAGGAAGATGTTGAAAAATATAACTAACTGTTTAGCTAAAAGATTTTCTTTAGCAGTACCAAAATGTGACGAGGTGGCGAAAGTGAGTCATTTGTGCGCGTGATCGGGTGCAATGGGGCGTAATAAAGCGCACTGCCGCACTCGACTTGGCACCGGAGATGGCGATGGCAGAGGCAGCAACAGACCAAGAGAAAGCAAGCCTGGCTCTAGAAGATGTTTGCACAGCTACACAGTTGGTCACAATTACAAATACAAAAATACGAGTCAAAGGCGAGTATGTCAATTGGCAATCGGTTCCACTGCCGCAGCATCAACTGTGACTCTGATGAGAACAGTTTGCTCATGAGCAACTTCCAAAAGATACATGCTGATGAGAACGACAAACTGGCTGATTATTCGCGAGCGGTGAAGCACAATTTTAAAATTATGTTAATTATTATCTAATTTGGCTGGCTGTGGCTGCACCGCTGCCGACCGGTCATTGTGATTGTCTGACTGTCTCCCTTGCTGTGTGTATGTGTATGTTGCATGTAATGTTGCACAACAATCGACCGAAGCAGAGCATTTGAAGCGAAAAATGTGGAGAGCGTACAATGAAGAAGCAGTAGTTTTTTCAATGGTGCTACTGCTGATTTTTTACCATTGACAGTGTCTCCCTCACCCTGGGCCCAGCATACACACACACACTGCCTGACTTGGCATCGGGCCTTACTGGAGTGACTGTAACGCTATGGGAACAGAGGACGTTCTCTTTCTTTTCCTTCTCCTCCTTCTCCTATTCGTTGTATCGATCGCTTTGATTGAGTCCAGCAGACAAAAGCAGGCAAAGTATGCACCGATACATCCGAGTGCTGTTTGGCCGCTGGCGGTGACACACACACACACACAATCCAAGTTAGTGAGAGAGTGAGTAGGGCTTGCTTTCTACGCGTTTCGAGTCGATTATAATCGAATTATATTCAATTAGGACAAGTTAGCAATGGCAACAACAAGGAAAAGCAGTGTGCGTGTGTTCAGAAAATGAATCTATCACTTGCGGCAAAATTGGCTTTGTTGCGGCGGGTTCATAGCGTTGCAGGACCACTAGTTTGCAGTGCACACAGAAAGGCATCATTGTGTCAAGAGACGCAACACACACAAGCATAACAGTGCCAATGGACAAAAGCAAACAAACGGGCGCTAATAGTCGCTAAATGAGAAAGATGCTTCGACTTTTTGAAAAAAAAGAAAACGAAAAAAGTCTCTGCTGTTTTTAGACGTGGGTCAGTCTTTTGAAAGTGAGCTCAGCCAACAAGCAGCAAGAAGTATTCAATCTCGCCAAAAGAATCGGAAATTGGAAATGCAGCAAGGAAGGAAAAGTGGTCCAGCAGCAGCAGTGTGCGTCAGTGTGCAAGCAGGAGTTGTAATTAAGAAGCTTAAGAGTAGAGCAAAGATGATGAAAATGACGATGAAGGAAGCAACACCAGCAGCATCAGCAGAAGCACACGTTCATCGTCGTCGGTGTTCTGTTTGCTGAGTGTGTTCGCTCAACTGGCGATGACCAGCCATCGGTGGATGATGCTGTCCGGCCTGACAGTGAGTCTCCGAAGATTGGTGTCGGGATTAAATGGCAAACAGCAGTGTCAGAGGCTGTGAACGACACCGACGGCTGCACCGTTTGTGTGTTTGGCTGACCGTAAGGCGTATGGCTACGTCGTTAGCTGGCCAACCAACACAATAGCAAATAGAGAGCACCGTCGAATCAGTGGCTGTAAAGACAACAGAACTCGATAGAGAAAGAAAGTGAAAGAAATCAATTTCCAATTGGCAATAATCTTTGAACCTTTTTCTCGATTATTTCTGCTATTTATTTGCCATTTAATAGCTAAGTAAACAAGTAAAAGAAAAGGAGAGAATGGGACAAACAGCCCGTAGATTGGGCAGACGGCAAACAATTGACCGGAGATAGAGACAGGAAGAAGCCAGAACGGCTACTGCTGCTGCCGATGACAAATCTATTTAGCCGAATGATGCGAATTGTTGGTGCCATTTCTTTTAGCTCTTCAGGCAGACAAAAGGCGAAAGAAGCTGCTAGCTGTCGACGCCTGACACGAGCACACAGCATTTCAGTGTGCAAAGCTGGCAGAAGAGGAGCTCTCCCTGTACGCTCATTGTTTCAGTATCATTGTGACCACATATCACTCTGATCACCAATTTTCTAGGTGTCAGTTGCATATGCAAAATGTAATTTTTTTCCAGTTGTGCAGCAGCAACAGCCGAAGACAGCAGTTGAGGATGAAAACGACTGTGAGAGAGCACCGTTGTGTGAGATGTCAATGTTGACCACAGTGCGACGGGCCGATGCACTTAGCAAGTGCCCATCTCTGTTTGCCATGGCCATTTGCCACCAGCACCATCAGCACAACCAAATAATTCAATATTTGCCTGGTATCGCGCGTTCACTCGGCGGCAAGTGATTATCGACTCTCCGCTCATGCAAACGTGCCTTGTACTTCGGTTTTGCCTCTTTCTCTCTCTCTCTCTTTGTCTATTTCACTGGTCCTCATTTACGCATTCAATTGGACGCCTTTCCCTTCTTCACTTTTGCACATCGTCGTCGCCGTGTGTGTATTTATCTTTTATTCTCTCTTTCTTTTGGCTCATTCGAGTCTCAAGTTGTGCTTATTCAATTTAATATACAAACAATATTTGCGGTCAGATTCAGAGTAAATAATAAATTTTAAGTGTTGACTTAGTCAGCCAGCTAACATGGGGTGAAAGATGGAAAACGTCAACTCTACACAGAGGCACTGAAGGCTCCTAGCATCCCATTCAAATTGCAATTTTTAATATTTACCAGCAGTGCAATGCTAGTGCTCTTGCTGCTGTCTGCATGCTTGTTGGATCAGTAACTGTAAGTGATTGAGACGTCAGCGTCGAAGGTAGCCCAGACAGAATGCAGTCAGCAGTAGATGCCGATTTAAGAAAAGGCAAAGTGAAATGCGTCTTTCCAGTGTCAGCTTTGCCCTGACCAATCTCTAGTAATCTACAGTGATCCAAATCGCACACGTGGGCTTTGCTGAAAAGGAAGACCATTTGTGTGCGCCTTGCAGTGAAAGGGCACAGTTTGATAGTGAGGTAGACAATACAGAATTCTTAGCGTGCCAATTCTTTGGAGTGCAGGTGTGCAGCAGTGACAAGATGTGCCACAGTGATGTCCTCTGCTGATGGTAGCGGACAGTGGCCCACTCTCCAAACTGAACAGCAGTGGCTGCAGTTGGATCAATGACGGGTGCTAGGTGGTCATAATTGAGAGAGCAAGGGAGTGAAGCGCTGAGAGAGCTCGCGCGGCCTCCCTAACCTGCACACAAAGGCGATCGTCACTTGGCTGTCAGATTTGACTGCACAATTTTGCGGCAAATTGACTTGCCATTTCCAATGCTGCTATTCATAATTTGTTTGTTTTTCGAATTGCCTCTTCCCTGGTGAGGAAGCTGCACACAACACACACGAAGAGAGCCAGTTTAGGATTCGGTAGGGCCGGTTAGGCAAACAGAAGGGACGGTATTTGCATGCCTGCTTTTCTTTCTCTCTCACTGTGCCCTACTGTCGTCACTCTTTTACACTGTGGGCCTGATGAACTGTGTGCGTTCGATGATGAGCAGAACGAAGAAGAAGAAGAAGTGGCAGTGTCACCTAATCAGCTGGGGACGAGCTCAAGTGGCAAGGTGACAAAGTGTTGCCTTCCCTGGTGATAGATGAATATTTAATAAACCCAAAGTGCACAAATACACACAACGGACAGTGGTGGTGGTGGTGGTGGTGGTGGTGGTGGTGGTGCCACGCTGACTGCCACCGCTAGACAGTCAGTCTTCACCACTCAATGGAGTGCCTGCACTGGAAAAAATAATCGGACCACGGAGAGAAAGGGCTGCCTCGCAGATGAATGGCCTGCTTGTTTACATTTGAGCACGCCCATGTGCAAAATACGAGAGTTATTGGGCCATTGTCAATTGAGATTCAAAAGGAAGAGAGCAGTGTGTGAGTGTGAGTATTGCCATTAATGCAATTCAACTCAACTGTGTGTGTGTGACAAAATGCACCGAGTGCTACAAATTGCTGAGAAGAGTGTGAGCATGGTGAGGGGGACAAGAGAGGGCCAGAGAGGGTTTAACTGCTTGATTAGTAGTTAAACTGTCTACTGCACTGTGCCTGCTCAACGGTAATTAAAAGCGGATTAGCGGTAATTATGCGACAGTGTTTGCATGCCGAGAATAGTTCAGACACATTGTTGCAAACTGGTGATGCCCATATTCAGAAAACGGTACAGTAATGAAATGGCAGTGCATATGCAAATAAATCAAAGCTTTTCGGCCAATGTGTTTACACTTTGAAAGGAAAACTTTAATTTAGCTCTATAAAGTGTAGAGTTTTACTGATGATCTTGAGAATTTAATTTTGTTTGAAGCATGTTGAAAGATGCAATATTATTTAATGAAAATTCAATTTGCCGATAATCAAGATGCAGGATCCTGATCTTGAGATTGTCTGATGCAGTAGTGCTACTTGATGGTGGAAGGAGGTCGCCGAATCGGTGGGCTGGTTGGCTCGAGTGGCCGGACCTACTTCATCTTGTCAAAACGTTTTGGCTCACTGTTGTGAGCTCAGTGTTAGGCTGACTGCTGCTCAAGGCGTTCGCTCGTGTGCCGCTGTCGTGTCTGTTGTTGTGTTTGGCGTTCTCTATTGTGCGGTGATTAACGTTATTTTGATTCGAAATTATTAACCGTGCTCTATGCGTCAGTCGAAGTGAAGAGATCGAGAGCGAAAACAAATGCGGCCCGTTTGGTTCTCTCCTTCGCCTTCTTTCTCTTATTCCCGGTACAGTTTGCAGACACAATTTCAAGCTTCCCTCAATGAAACGACACTGACAGCGAGTGCGAGAGAGAGAGGGAGAGCGAGCGAAGTACTTAAAGACTTTGGTAATTTTAATAAAACTCTGATCATAATAGACACTCAAGTTCAATTGCAGAACGAGGCGTTCGCGCAGATTAGGCACCGAACAGTGTCCGTGTGTGTGTGTTTGCAGAGACCGAGGTTGGAACAGAGAACGGCAGCGGCAGTTCCTACGCACAATCCGGCCACTTGAGGTGAACTAGAAGCAGCAGTGGTAGGCAGGGAGGGAAAAGACGAACAAACGATGGTATGTCGTTTGCTAAAGGCTGAGGCGAACCAAAATTTTGGGTCGCGATCCACTTGAGAGGGCACTGAGGGCGCACTCGCTGACCACTTCATCAACGCTTGCACACATCTGTCACGACGAGGAACTGCAGTGCTCACTCGTTGGGCTCGACAGCCACCGCCGCCACCGCCACCACCATCACCACCGATCTGGTGGTGGCCCCTATTGTCTGCAGCTAAACCCTGGCTTCCCTTCACCGGTGTTCCTGTCACTGTGATGCTTTGCCAATAACTTCGGTGTGTGGTGTGACTGCTGAAGTTGCTTGTTAGTTTGTCTTGTTCAGCTGTCAGTGCTTGTAACTTGGTTTTTGCAGCAGCTTTTCCAATCTCCATCGCCTCCTCCATTGGGCATGCCACCACCACCACCACCTCTGAGTTTGACCTTACCTGGTAGTAAGTGGTAAGTGGACGGACAGATGACTTGAATCGACTCGATTTATATGATTTCTTTTTCCTTTCATTCACCTTCTTCTAGGTTACCGTTTATTTACTTTAGAACTGACTACGATGACAGGCACACACTCTGAAGTTCAATGCGTTTTTGTGCATGTCTGTTTACACTGATCTCTTCAAGGCCTGACTCGGTTCAGTCTTGCCACTGAAGATGTGCTAAAGACCACACAGGAGCTGGTAAAGCCATCAGCAGTGGTGGCAGTGGCGGTGGTGGTCATCGTGTCCTTCATTGCCTTCCGATCAAATCGGCACTCAATGGCACATTCTCCGGTATGACTGAGTTCAGACAGTTTGCCAATTATGGCAACCAATCGAATAGCTGTTGCCTCTGTTTACTTTACATTTGTTTGCACATGTGCCTTTATTAATTTTGTATTTTGCATTTTTGTTCAGTGAACTTCCACCTGTACATATTGCATCTTTTCAATATTGAATTTTATTTTATTTGCAAAGAAGCATTTTAAATTATTTCAAGATGAGCAGAGCACATAAATTGAGTTTCACCATCTTGTTGAAAGAGTTTCATTTTCAACTAATGGAAATGCACTTCACTCAAATCTTGGGCAACTCTAATGCTTTTCACATAATCCACTGCGACCCTTTTTGTTCACAAAAAAGGGGAAAACATACACATCCACTTTGGTCTCTCTTTCTATTGTTCTCTTCTTCTCATCGTCTCAAAAACCGTGCATTTACTTGCTTATAGCTCTCTTTGCAATAATGATACAATTGCTGTTGTAGAAGACTCTGAAAACCTGAGTGAGACCAGACTACAACCAACCAGAAAAAAGAAAGCCTATATGCGAGGTGGACCATTTCGCCATGGGCTATGTTTTAACAAGCACGTCAGTGGAGTGCACCCACCACGTCGGCACACCGCCGTCGAGTGTGTCGCCGTTCCACAAACAGTCTAATTGAATTACTTCGTTACCAGTCAGCTGGCTCGTTGTGGCCTGATGATTGCAGCCAATTAGTGAAAGTGAACGAGTCCCTCTGTCTACTGTCTACCTCTTCTAATGAATACAGTATTGTGCTCGTCGAAGAAGAGCTGTGCGCATCGTCAGTGGCCCAAGTGGCGAGACTCAATTAAATAATGTTTAATGTTGCTTAATAAATAGAGACCGTCTGTACAAAAAGGCATCAATTGCGTGGTGTGTGTTTGTGTGTGTGTTTGTGTGTGAGTGTACAATGTGTGCAGTCAAAGGGACTTTACAGTGAGTTACAGTGGCAGTCTACTGTACAAAGGCATCCAAAGTGCACGCTTCGTGCCCTATGCTTCATCCGGCCGCACGCCGTAATGATCAGAGCTCGTGGAAAGTGGTCAATGGTTTGCTGGAAGAGTGAGTGAAGGTAAATGAGTGAGTGAACAGATGAATGAATTTAATGGCGACCATTTCCTCTACTTTTACTGCTGCTACTGCTGCTTCTGAATGCTGGTCTTCCACTGGTTGGCTTTCACTTGCAAGTGCACTTGACGCAGTTCACGCGCCCTTNAGTGGCAGTCTACTGTACAAAGGCATCCAAAGTGCACGCTTCGTGCCCTACGCTTCATCCGGCCGCACGCCGTAATGATCAGAGCTCGTGGAAAGTGGTCAATGGTCTGCTGGAAGAGTGAGTGAAGGTAAATGAGTGAAGGAACAGATGAATGAATTTAATGGTGACCATTTCCTCTTCTTTTACTGCTGCTACTGCTGCTGCTGAATGCTGGTCTTCCACTGGTTGGCTTTCACTTGCAAGTGCACTTGACGCAGTTCACGCGCCCTCTTCTTGACTACCACTACTACGCTGACTACTAGTTGAAAGAAGCAATGGCACTTCGAGCGATCCATTCGAAGGCATTGATATCAGAGTGCACCTTTTCAGAGTGAGAGAGAAGAATGATCCTGCACTACTTGAGCACGAACTCGCTGTGACGTGGCTTGCTGATTCAAAGTGAGACGATTTTTGTTGCCTATTGCTGCTGACTTTCATTTTAGCCGCATTATTCTTTCTTTTGTAAATAAAACTTTTTTAGAATACTGTTTGACATAAGTGGTCAGTGTAATGCTGTTTTGAAGGGTTGAAACGATTGACACGATGGTGCAGCGTTTTGCGTTCGTTGATAATTAACGAGAATTGGCATCAGTGCATCCGAGTGCGCAGTGGACAGATGTGGTGATAGTCCCAAATGATGTTGATGGCAAGTGTGTCAGCACACCATTTGAAAGTGGATCAAAGCAAACAAGAGAACAAGTAAAACTGTATCACAGCTTGTAAAGTTTGATTGCTCATTCAGAATCGGCTCGGGGCTCAGGTGTCGGCGTACTCATCGTCACAGGGTGCGCTTAAGCTTTGTGGCTCACTTTGACTATCCGCTCTTCGTTCTTCTCATGCTTGAATTGGTGCTCGTGTTGTGCTCGAATTTTGGCTCAGCAGCGTCGGCGTCAGTGCTTCAGTGCTGCAGTCCACGCGCACGGCAAGGGCGGAGGGCTCGTGGTAGTGCATAAATGAGTTCATATCACAGGTAGGTGCATTGCGTTAAATTAATTGGTAAACAAATGGCCTAAGTGGTCCGAGGGAGGCAGAGGGGGCTGGAGTGGAATGGAGTGGGTGGGTGGGGAGTGCTGGGGATGCTCAGTCAGAATTCAGAACTTCCTATGAACTATTTGGCATGGCTTTGCTCTTCACGTTGATCTGAGTGGAGGCCGCTCTTCTCAGGTAGTTGTTGTGGTGGTGATGGTGGTTGTGGAAGAAGGGCGACTGGGGAACACGGTTGCGAAAGCGTGGATTTCGCCGGAAGGGAGGAGGTATATGAGCGTTGTCGATTCGAGAGAGAAGGCGGTCGGGAGAGCTGTTCGGACTTCGAATCGACTGTTGTACGTGTGAGTAGTCGGGAATGATGTTCTCTATCTCCGCGAGACACTTCCCGTTGCGGCAAATCTGCATCCGATGATGGTGATGATGAAGTCGATAGTTGATGATGATGGCGGCGGTAGATAGACAGTTGTTTGTGCGCGTGTGTGTGCAGAGTTTACATGAAGAAAGTAAGAAAAGAGTGTATTAGTCGGGCGTTGGGTGCACCGTATCGCCTTACCTGTCCATCGCCACATGCAGATCCCTCGGCGGCAGGGCGATAAGAGACGCAGTAGCCAGAGGCGCTGTCGAAGCAAAACAATTGGGCGCACACGCGCGCATCTTTCTGCGGAGATAAAAGAGAGAGAGAAAGTGCAAAGGGCAATTAGTGGATCTATCGAGGTCAGATTGCCATCGGCTGACAGCAGAGTGCTTCCAGTGCGGCAGTGCGTGCTCACTGCACAATCACTGCAACTGCAGCCACTACTCACAAAGCAAGCGTTGGTCCCTCGATCTCGCTTGCACTGCTCGTCCAGCGACAACATCGTTCCAGGTAACACTCGAGGTAAAAGTTGATTTTCATGAGGGAAATTGTACAGACAGGTCGCCGTCTCGCCACTGTGAGCACAGAAAAAAAAGAAAAAAGCAAAATGGGGAAAAGTGAATGAGTAAGCAGTCAGTCAGATTGGCAGTTAATCAGTGTTGCTAGTGTTGGTGGTCAGACGGCGGTCAGCACAGACACTGATACAAACACAGACTGACTAGCAATGATCAAGAGGGAAGAGATGGGGTGGAGGAAACTCACTTGAGGAAATGCTTGAACTGCTCCACACTGCAGGAAGACCACCGAAAGCCGCGTTCAGTGTGACGAAGGTCGCTCATGATGAAGCCATCTTCCCATGGACAGCGGGTCGCTCCGGGGCCGCCTAAATAGCTCGGCGGTGGAGAGCCGTCGTGGACGCAACCAAGCCTAGGGTAAACAAAGAACGGTAAGCAAGGCGGCCTTCAAAGCCTCCAGAGAGCACTTACAAGTGTCCCACTTCGTGTGCCGCCACTATGATGCCACTGTAGCCACCGCTGTCCTCGATGATCGCCACGCTGTTCACCTTCTCCAGTCGCTTGTTCACCACACAGGCGCCACCGACGTAGGCGAAACCAGCCGTGCCTCGGTTGCACCGACCACCTTCATACCGACGACGGCACATGTCCAGCTTGGTGATCACCACTGCCATGTCGTACGTCGGCAGACGGTCCTCCCGGTACAGGTACTTGCCCATGTCGGTCAGCGCTCCCGCCGCGTCCACAGCATCGGCGTTTGGTGGACGAAGGCGATTTCGCTCCAAGTACGGGGTTGCATCTCGGTCCTAAGAGTTGGGAAGGCATCAGCAGTTTTTAGTGAAAAAGCCCTCACACAAACAATAAGATTGTAAATTGACCAACCTTGGCGACAATCATTCCGGCCAGGCTGACTCTAATCTGCGGATGAGTGAGCAGCTTGTAGCGAAGATCGACGCCATTCCAGAAACTGATAAAGTACCGCTTCACATCTCGGCTGGTGGCACCGTGCAACATGAAGGAGTCGTAGTCGACGACGAGCAGCACCTCAGGCCACACTGTTCCAGGTGCCTGGCGTTTCTTTCGCGATGAACGCCGTTCGCCGTCGTTGCCGCCGTCGCTGCTGTTGTTGCTGTTCAGCTGACCTCCAGGCCATTGTACAGTGAGGTTGCGAACATTGTGTCCTACGAGAGCACGCTCTAGTTCAGCTGAGGGAAAGAAAAGGAAAAGTATGAAAGTCAGCTGTAAATACCGATAGAGTGACACACACATACCAAAGTCAGGCTGTTGTTGGTTGTGCTGTTCATGCTGTTCAATGCTGCGTTTGAAGATGACGTGAATATTCCCATTGGCACCGGACAGAAGTGCGTCACTCGGATGTTGCTGCTGTAGCTGTTCATTGTCTGTGGCATTGGCAAGCTTCTCCAGCTTCCTCACCTTACTTCGTCTCATCTCTGCCATCTCGTCCTCATTGAGAAACATTTCATCGTCATCAGGATCTGCTTGAAGTTCATTCAACATGGGATGATCTTCTGACTTTACCGTTTCAGGGATCGGCTTTATCACGAGATCATTTCCAATGGTGCCGTGCTGTTTTCAAAGAAAGGCAGAGGAAATAGAAAGGAAAAGGGGAAACGTATCAGCAACTCAGTTGGTGTGTGCACGACGCCGAACGATGGTCAGTGTCTATCGGCAGTCAATCTCTCGCCCCGTTTTCGAATATCATTAACATACCAATTGCACTTTGCCTTTTGAATTGTGATCCAGGAAAATGGCTGCCATATTTTCCTCATCGTGATAACTTGTTCCCGATGCAGTGTCCTACATTTAAAAGTGAGTGTGTGTGTGTTTGTGCGATAGGCAATTAGCTGTCAATTATCGTCAATTCAAGTTCGGCCACAGGCCACTGAACGCAATTGCCGACTTACCGAAGCACTGGGGTCTTCGCTGTAGCGCAGTTTGCCATTTTTTGACGTCTCCGCAATGTACACTTTCATGTCCTTGATGCGTTCATTGAAGTCATTGTTGTCCTTTAGGTTCAGTCGCATCTTCCGACCGAATGCATTCACCTGAACATGTTTCGTAGTGCCGTCCTCAATGGACCGTTTTGTGATAAGTCGCACGGCGGACAGTTCATATTCGGGTACTGTCACCAAAGAGAAAAGTTGCATTGTTTAGTCATGAGTATCACCGTACAATCAATGTATTTTTAATAAGGAGTATCACCTTTTTCATGTGAATCAACGTAGAATACAGATTGGAGATCGCGTTTTGTCATATGACGATGAATCTGAGGATTGAAAAAACGTTTAGTTTTTGCTACTATTTTTAATCAGGGTCAGCAGATGGCGCAACGGAAAGTAAAATTTAAAAAATAATTTTTCTTAAAAATATTCAAAAGAGAACAACCAACTTGGCGGCAAAAGGGAATCATCTAAAAAGGGAAAATGTGAAAACTTACTTGATACTTGGCAAGTGATGGGGCGTCTAGTGTGAGACAGAGCGATGAAGTGGCTAGCAGATGAAGGACTAGTACGATGTACAGCAGTGGGTGGAGGTGGTGGGGGTGCCTTCTTGGCATTGAACAGGTGCTTCTTGGGGGTGTAGTGGGTGCTCTCCTTCTGATTGGGCTGACTTTCTGGTGGCACAGGACAGCGATCCGACATTGCGGAACATGGCGCGACAGCTGTTGTCGGGACGACTTCTGACTGGTGTGCTCATGTCGCTGAAGAGGCAAAGTTTCGAACATGACAAGGCAAGTGTTGGCGAGTTGCTGCGGATTGAGAGAGATAGTGAAGGTGAGAGACGTAATGAAGCAGAGGCGTCTCTTTGAGGAAGACGGTGATGACCAGTCGGGACAAGACGGGTCATACAGCTGAGACAGTGCTCGAACCAAGAACGGGCAGCAGTGACGTCCAATGGGCAGCACAGTGCTGGAGTGGCTGCTGCTGCTGCGGTGTCCCAATGATGGCGGCGGGGTTGATGATGGTGCTGATGGTGGCAGTGTACGTGCTGGAGGTGGCGGTGGTGGTGCTCTCGGTGCTGGACGGTGCTGGTTCGCAGCTGCTGTCTGACTGTCGCACTCGTGTCAGGTGTACGTCTGCGACTGGCAAAGTACGACAGGCGGTGCAGTGTGACCGCGACCAGGAGTAATTGAGATAGAAGAAGTGAAGTAGCCGATAGAGCTCCAGTGCGTGCAGTTGTGAGTTTGTGGTACTGCTCTTCGTAGTAGATGTACTGGAAGTAGTAGTGGACGTAGAAGTGGTTGCAATAGTCGAAGCAGCAGTAGTAGTCACCATGGAGTAGTAGTTGGCAATGAAATTGAGAGTGAAATTTTTGCTGACAAGCGTTGACAAACTAGGTGAAAGCGGCAATTTCACCTGCCAAACGGAAGAAGACGGGAAGTCGTTTTGCTGTGCACGCGTCAATGACTACAGGAAAGAAAGAACAAACAATGCCATGATTCGATTAGACTCGATGCACTTTTCCCCAAACAGACGGCAGCAAGAAGGAGTAGGTAAAGGGAACGGGCAAGAGCAACAGGGCTGCAACAGAGGCGCTTGCGCCCGAGTAGCAATCTAGTTCAGAAAAGAAAAGAGCAGTCAGTGAGAGTATGAGTCTTGAAGTGAGTGAGTGAGTCAGTCAGTCAGTCAGTCAGTAAGTCAGTCAGTAAGTCAGAGAGCCATTGACTTGACCGTGTCACCGATGTTAATTAATTGCCACTGTTTGCCAGTACTGTTTCACTTGGCTCCCCGTGCACTCACCGACAAATTGGTTCATCGATGGACTTCTGCTGAAACACGTCACACAAGATAGAGGCCAGACAATGAGCTCCGGTGTGGTTGAGCTAACAACACAGATTGTTTTACAGTTTCAGCTTCTCCGAGAAGTGAGTGGCCGTTGTCTCTTTGCTCTTCAACAAAGAAAAACACTGAAACCATACACAACAACACACGGTGACTAATTGAATGAGTAGCTGAGCTCTAGTGGAACAGTCGGTGACGAGAGCACACCATTGACGGCGGTGGACAATCGATGACAATTAAGTGCGCTGATTAATGTTGGCTGCAGTGTGTACGACCAGGAGATCACTGCGACGACTGCACGGTAAATTGAATGATTTCTCTTTCAACAGGCAGATCACGACATGATATTACGGAATGACAAATTGACTTGATCTGCAGTGTTGATCTTTATTTCTCTACGACAACAACGTCTCTATCACTGTTTTCTCTCTCGTTTATGAATTGAACAGTTGTCGTTCTGGTGTTTGGGGTAATAAGCCACCACAATCATTTGGTCAGAATGGGCAATTCAAAGTACTGCTGTTTGTTGTTGTTGCTGCTACTACTGCTCCAAGTGACCTCGAGACAGCCTATCCTCGACTAGTCTATTAGCTCAGAACTCTGAGCCCTCCAGCAACAATACAATTGGATTGTCTCACCGAGGAGGCAGCACAATGGCAGCCAATCTAACGATTATACAGCAAAAGAATAAAGTGCCAATTGCAAGAGAACTTTCTTCTACAGACGCGCTCAAGAGAACCTTGCCACTTCTGTTTCTTCAGATTGCACGGTGTCTTGTGCGACTCATTACGTGGCAAGGCTCAATTTGATTTATATTTTAGCGGGATCGCCACCAAAGTGCGCTGCTCATTCTATTCATTAGCATTATTCACATTATATACACATTGAGCACACAGGTGTGCAGAATTGTGCTTTGGAATAGCTCAGCACAGCGGCTCCCCAAGATATTTGTCTGCTCTCTAGACAAGCAAACACCAGCAGAAGTCGGCCAAGTCTTGGCCAATATAAGCCGATGGTGAGCTGTTGATAACGTGACAGTCATGCAAATGGCGAATGGCGTGGCAATGAGCCGTCTTGCCGTCATTTCACTGTTACTCTCGCGGTTGCTGGCCACATTACTTCGCACTGCTGCATGGTCAAATGGAAGTGAAGTACTGCTGCTGTTGCTGTTGCTGTTGCTGACCATTGAGAGCAATTACTCGGCAAACAAGGCAAGTCACAGGTTTCCACTTCTTCACGCCTTCCACCGCGTTGCCACCATCACCACAGCACAACCGACGACCAACGACGTCATTAGAGAAAATCTCGGCTGAGTGGCCACCTTTTGATCAAGCTGCACTTGGACAGACGGCTTTGGTGGCATTGTTGCGTCAAGATAGAGAGCATAGCACACACACAGTTCAGCACAGTTCTGTACAGTGCTGGACCGACAGTTTGACACTGCTGCCGTCTGCCCTGCTCGGATGGCATTCTTCTCTGCAGCCTTTCTTCCAGGGCTCAAACTCACCTGAGTGTGAAGTCTATTGTCTCGATCATGCAAATTAATAGAGGATACACAACACACTAACAGCCACACTCTAACACATAACACACAACCGTTAGACACACGACAAACAGTGAAAAACACACAAACACTGTAAGAGAGATACAGACACCGCAAGCTACTGTAAACTGCCAACACGAGACTGAGGAAAGACAACTGTGTTCGCAGGATTGGCAGTGGCCAGCACTATCAACTCTATTCTTTGTTGTTTTTCTTCTTCTTTTTTTTAGTTGGCGATAAAACAGCAGCAGCAGTCACACACTCCTACACTCAAACAATGAAACTGATCAGCACAGAACAATCGTGACAGTTTATCGCCGACTGAAAAAATTGCTTTAATTTGCTCCAATGAGACCGAATGAATTTACTTCTCGGCAGAACAGTCGTACCGGCAGTTAATGCACACAGCCCAGCGGGGATTGCGCCAAATGGTAATAAGACCCATTTTGCACTGTGACGTGTGACCAGTCATCAGCGAAGGTGTCAGTAGGCAAAATGATGCAGATGCCTATGGTGCCACTGACACCGCTGGTGCTGATAGAAATAGTGGCACATCCGTCAATTAGACAGACGCTCAGCTGGCTGTGACTGGTGTGTGGGCCACACTGGTAGAGATGAGAAGACAGAGCGACAAAGGGAAAGTCAACGGCACACAGAGCAAGGCTGCTTATCTAATTATGGAAGCCTAATTTGCAATTACAATGACACTTCTCTAAACAAATATAGAATTGGTTAGCGTCGCCATTTATAAGCAGTCATCATACAAACACAGGTGCTCATTTGAATGCAGACAAGTGCCCCCAAGTGATGAGCAGTCGCTGAGCAACTGCAGTTCACTTAACTTCACTTCAGTGATTTAGTCAGGCAAGTGCAGAGCTGACGCCGTTACCGGCTTTGAAGTTAGCGCTCCTTTCAGGAGAAAGAGAAAGTGGATACATCAAATTAAATTTATCATCACTGAACAAAATGAGTAGTGCTCAGAGTAGTCCATTAAATACCAATAAGCAACAGCAGTCGGAAGTAGCAACAGTTTAACAAATTAAAATCCTGTTTTCTCTGCAAACTCACAAGACGAATTACACTAACCAATGAAAAGAATAAAGTTTTCAAAAAACAAGAATTACTGTTATTGAACTGTTAAACGTCGGTAAAAATGTTGCTAAAAGTAGAAGCAATCAAAGTATAGAACAAAAATAAAAGTGAACAGCTTGAATGAGCACCTACTCGCCTCAAAATAGCATGGTCACCTTCCGCCTAAAGAAAAGAATCGAGGTAATTCAATGGGCGAAGAGCACACAGAAAAGAAATGACTGAAATCGAAGCACACAGTTGAACTCTCTGTTTTCCACTGATCGGACTTTAACAATCAGTGAATTGGCTGGAGGACAGGAGCTAGCAACTGTGTCAAAAACAAGTACATCCAGTCACATCTGCACAGTTGAAGTCAAGGGTTTGCCTTTAGGCGCACTACTTTCAATGTTCCATTCATACGTGCGACACTTTTGTGCAACAGTGGTGGCCGTACATTTGCAAAATGCCGCATCCTGAGAGTTATGTGGGCAAGTCGGTCAGCAGCTCGTGACTGCGTATCAGCTTAGCTGAGTTCATTTGTTGGCACAAATCATCACCACCACTTTTGCTTTCCCCGTTGTTGTTCCGTTGAGGGACAGGAGGTTGTTGAAAGGTAATCAGAGGCTAAACAGTGGTGGGCACCTTCTTTCTTGACAGTCACATATACAGCGAACAGACAGTAATGACAGTTTGCAGTGTGAGAGTGAGAGAGAGAGTTGTGGCCAAGTGTGCCGTCGTCATCGATTGCCGAGTAGTTCTCAATTAGAGGCACGCCGACAATTATACTACTGCCAATCGAACCAACAATGCCTGCCTGACGTCCCAGTAGGAAGCAAAAAGGAAATGAAGTGCACAGCGGAGTACTGTGTGAGCCATTTTGAAAGCGCATGGCCAGTGGCTGCACGCGCTCAAAGCTCACCGATCGACTTTGAGCAGCTTCGATATCAAAGAAAGAGAAAGTGAGAGTGAGTGAGAGAGTTAAAGGGAGTTTAAGAGAGTAAAGGAGACTGCCCTGAACGTGGAGTGCAGTGCCAATAGGGCACTAATTGATCGATCAATGCAAATCGAAATCGAAATCGGCGTCGCCTGCACTCACACGAACACATTGGCCTAGGAGCAGTGCAATTGCCCTATCAGCTGCCTATTAATGTCCGGTTGCGCTCCTCTCTACACCAATTGATGATGATGGAGATAATTCAGCCAGTGATTTCCCCTTGTGGGCAGTGAATCGAGCTTTTTGCGGTGA